ATCTGACAACGACAACTTGCATTATTATTATTATTATTATTATTATTATTATTATTATTATTATTATATTATTATTATTATTATTATTATTATTATTATTATTATTATTATTATTATTATCAGTATTATTTTCAGTATTATTATCAGTATTATTATCAGTATTATTATTCCTAATCTACACACGCACCTACTCTTTTTATATGTATATTCGAGTACATCGGCTTACGGTCCCGGAAATTTACTTTCCGGGAAATGTACTTTTTTCGGTCAATCACATTTCCATACATTGACGTATGTCATATAAATACCCCTATGTGAACGCTTACAGTATTTCCATTCTTCTATCATGTCTCCTCAGTGGTTTGGTAACACCGTTACATGTAGCTGGTGGTCTGATCTGTGGCTCAATGAAGGATTTGCGCGTTATTTTGAAGGCATAGGACTGGAACACGTGGAACAAGATTGGCGGGTAAGATCCTGGTAGCCCGGTCTCAACATAATCGATATAGTTACATGCTTGGATTTTCAATAGGTCGGGCTTTTAAATATTACCCTCTCCCCCGCATCTACAAAGAAGCATTTAGTATCTACACAGTTTCGATTTACTCACCTTTGATTTATTTTCTACACTGATCACCCGGTAATGGACGACCTTTTTGTTTTGCATTCCCCCAGGCGTGGTACTCGTACAAACCGGCCATTGTGCGTTTCACAGGTGTTAACACATGTTTTCAACATCCAATACTCAAAGAAACATTTGAATTAATACGAAATGTACACAGTATTACTTGTTCTTTAAATTCCAGACATTACAAGTGCAGCGAGAGGCAATAGTAAACGACCACTGCTAAGTTGATATTAAATAAATACATTAACAGAAATCATTTGTTGCAGTATCTGGAGCAGCTATACCCAGTGGACACCATTTACCCGGCCATGGACGCTGACAGCAAATCAGTTACGTCTCATCCGATCATCGTTCCGTCGGTTGGATGGCCGGAAGAAGCGGAAGGAATGTTTGATGCCAGCATCACGTATAGTAAGGTACAGTGGAATTACCATAACTAAGATAGATCATCATGGTGCCAAATTATTAACCCACCCCGTGTGATCATGTCATTTAATATCGGTCAAATTTGCTTCTCTCTTAGGGAGGCTGCATCAGTACAATGATGGAGAGCTTTCTTGGAAGAGAAACTTATTTCACTGCATTACGGATATATTTAGATAAATATCAATATACAGATACAATAACAGACCAGCTGATGGAAGTACTCTCGCAGGTAAGTTACGTGACGAATCACTTGAGTTGAGCACAGTGATAGAGGGACTGTGAGTTGAGCAATGTAGTGTCAACTAATTTGCATACTAGTACAGTTTAAACATACAAGACAATCAATTTTAACATGTGATATGGGCAACTCAGCTGAGTATTTTTTTGTTTGTTTTATTTTCCAAATTTGTATGTGTTTATTATAACATTTTTTGGCAAAATAAAACAATACGCATGATCGTTGAATTCACAGTACTTAACAATAATCCGGAGCGCATGCGTATTTGCGTTAATTATTATTTAATCAAACGTGTTTTGTGCCGCCAAATCAACGTTTTATTCAATATGTATACCCAAAAGACCACAGTCAAAAAACAAATACAATTATTTATATGACGTCATCGTCAAAAACAAGTTTACAGAATTCAAATGTAACATCGATACATCAAAACGCTTCGATACAAAACGTTTTATACAATTTATGTCGAGTATGTTGTATCATATTTGTGGGATATACTCATCAAACTGCAAACATGTTACCATGACTATTTGAGCCTCGAATTTTTCACTTTAATATAAACGGTTCATATCAGGTCGGAAGTAGTCCGAAATACAATATCTATAGAGTTAAAAGAGGTGGTCACATGACGTCAAAAGTGATCTGCATTTTATTCATAATTTAATGCACCAGGCTAATGCCGGCAATGGCGATAGGAGCATGAAAGAACTTATGGATCCATGGCTACGCCAGGCTGGTTATCCTGTTGTCGACGTCACAAGGACAGGTAGTAGAACCTTCCACGCCGATCAAGAGATATTCTTTCAGTACAAAAATGACAAACCCGACAGAAGACATCCTCATATGGGGTGAGTATTACAGTGATAGTAATTCACGGCATAAGTGCTAAATCTACTCGTTGTTACAGTGACCACTGCGAGGTACATGGTCATTTTTAAGTTGTCAGATAAATGTCCATAAATCAAGCGACATAATTCATTTCTGTTACTCGACGCGTGCCCCCCCCCCCTGTTCAATGCAATTCAAAGAAAATACCAATTTAGTGTTAATCTTTGCAGCTATAAGTGGCATATTCCGTTAATCTATACATATCAAGCAAACAGTCAAAGTCAACGTTTATTGTGGATGAACCTAGAACCGAGTGAGTACAATATTTTTTTTTACTACTCATATATATTCGTGTATTCATATATATTAGCAGAGGTACATTACTTGGGGTTTGCAACTACGGTGGAATGGTACCAAGATCCCGTTACAATCTCGCTCTCGCATAAGCGTTCCAACTCAGAAAAATGCGAATGCGCATGCCCGAGGTAACTAGGATACTGGGATGTCCAGGTGGATCAAAATAGCTGCCCACGATATGACGGATTACGAGAACTATATTTTCTGTACATTTTCGATGTATTACATTTGTCACTATGATAGTGACAAGAAAAGTTTCATTTTTTTCATTACAAACCTTGAACATTGATATATATCATGTCAGAAGGTCGTAGCCTCAGTCTCGCTATCTACGAGAAGAGACTTGAATGGGATCTTGACATGATGTCACCACACAGTACTATGCAAGTTGCAAACCCCAAGTAATGTACCTCTGATATTAGTTATTTTCTACTACAACTGATACATGATCACAAAACTTGATATAAACTTCCATTCTTCATATTTAGTTGATTTCGAATTGCCGAGCGACTCCACGAAACACGACTGGATACTGGTTAACATAGACCAGAAGGGATACTACCGAGTAAACTACGATCTAGACAACTGGAACAAACTTGCACAACAGCTTTTAGACGACCACACGGTGAGAACAAATAAATAAATCAACATTCGCTTACAATTCGTACAAAATTGTGTAACATTCAATTCTATTAATTTAAAAACGTGTAATCATATGTTTCCAATAACAGGTGTTCTCGGCTCGTACAAGAGGTGCACTGATCGCCGATGCCTTAAATCTGGCTAAGGCGCAGCGGCTCGGTGCAGTTGTCGCGTTAAAACTGATGCAATATTTGGTCACAGAAAGAGACTTTTTACCATGGTATACTGTATCAAGGTACATAGAGTACACGAAAGACATGCTTGGAAGAACATCGACATACTGGTTTTTTCAGGTAGGTGCCCATACGTACGCCCCAGAATATAAGAAAAAATTATTCAGATAGCATACATTCCCAATCGTAGAATTTACCTAATATTGTTGGGCTCAGGAATATCAGCAATACGTACTCACTTGTCGAATGACATCGCAAATAATGATTCCAAATCATCCACTGTTTAATTTCACTAGAAATTTATGAGTGACCTGTCTACACCCCGACACGCTGAGCTTGGTTGGGATTTATATCAAGGCACTCACCTGGAAACGTAAGTGCAGTTATAAATCGTAGTGATATATACAGAACGCACTGTGTCTATTTTGAACTTAGTTGACGACCTAGTTATTTCAAAGAGTTTCCGACACGCATCGTACTGTTTGTGCAATTATTTTGAAAATGAAGTATAGGTAGTAGTATAATTTGAGTGGAATAATGGTTTTCAAATAAATCATACAAACAGTCTTTAAATGCATCCATGCTGCGTTCTTCTAATGTTATTTTTTTGTTTGAAACTTTTTTCCATCAAGAAAAAGCTTTCCAACACGCTAGGTGATTATGTATATGTGAGCTTAGACATTCAAGGTCATTCAAGGTCACAACAAAACCACTCGAATTAATTGCAAATAAAACACGTCAAATAATTGTATGCCCTATACATTTTGGAGGACGGTACATTGGTGTACGCCTGTACGTTCCTACAATTTGACGTTGCTAATAGATTTCATTCAACGCTTGAATAACAATGTGTTAATTAAATCAGACACAAGTAAAAGGTTGACGCCTAAATCTCAGAGACGAATATATTCCGCTAGTGGAAACATTACAACAAATTTATCATAAAAACAAACAATTAGCAAAAGTAGGTGAAGAAAAATATTTTGCACATTTCATGGGCCATGTACAGATTACAAGTAACTAGAAGTGCTTTACCAGTTTAATTTGAACAAGGATCTTATAATTAACTAAAATGCAAGTTTCATCCTACACGAATAAAGTCGAGATGTGAAAATGGTTTGTTTGAATACTGTTAATCTCCTATATCATGATATACAGGTGACTCATTGTTTAACTTTACTTCTTCCATAGTCATAGTAGACTGGATGCACTAACGTTGGCGTGTCAGTTCGACAGCCCCGTATGTATTGAGAATGCCAAGTACCACTGGAATCTTTGGAAACAAGACCCCGACAACTACGAGTAGGCTAATATTTGTATATTTTCGTATTAGCGTGATATTTACCATTTTAATATAGATAGTTTGTGACAATTTGCTGTTGGTATACATTGATCAATGTACGATTTTTCCCCTCAGAATTCGCATAGAAATACAATATATTGTATTCTGTATTTCAATACGATACGGCGGGCCTCAAGAATGGAACTTCGCGTTTGAAAGGCTGAAAATTGACAGCGAAAACGCCGATACTTTACTGGAAGCTCTTGCGTGTAGTACGGAACCTTGGACGTTGCAAAGGTACTGCCTCACAATCCGTACAATTGTGCACCAACTCCAGGGAAATACAGTATACAAATTTTCACCGAAACTCCGACCAATTTTGAGCACATATTGCCCATGATGGTAATAGCATATGACTATTATCTGCGGTGGATTTTGAGTCGCCCAAACAATCGTCTTAAGTTATTTCCTGGGGCCGTAGGTCGAAAGACATTTAAAATTGTGTATGAAAAGATATGTACCTCACAGTTACATGTAATTATATGATCATATTGTCGATTTCTGATCTTTCCTAAGAAGCTATTTTATTGGTGATGATACATTACTCTGCATTCAGACACAGACGCATTGTACTCGTGATTGCTTTAACTTAAAACGTGGAAGTCGTGGCGCTGCGCATGTGCGACATTTGTGTTGATAAACATTGATTTTTCCACAATCCAAAGCGCTCTTCAAATGGAAATCACAAGTATGAGGTTTGACCTGGGCGCGATTCGCACTGATTACCGCCGGTGACTCCTTGATACCTTCGAATAACATAAAGATTACCTAATTAAAGCTTGGAAACGTCTCAGTTCGTACTCGTTGATCTACGCAACAGTCAAAGTCGGCATCTTTGTTTATATGAGACCCATATATCTCGCACATGCGCAGCGCGACGACTACCGCACTTTAAATTATTTGTCTATAAATGTAGAAAAGAATTAACAAACAAACATACGTTACAAACTAAATTTATGTTTAGCAAATAGAAATTTAGTATTTTTTTTAATCAGCAACAGATGATTATGAAAACTTTACTATACTTGTTTCAGGTATCTTGAATATTCCTTATACTCAGACGAGCTGTTATGGACATTGCCATATATTAGAAGAAGTTCTGGACTAGGATTATCAGTAGCTTTTGATTTTATCGTGAACCGATTTGACGAGATATATAACAGGTACAAACAATGATTCTAGCAATGCCTCTTACACAGAAAAAAATGTAACGTTTAAAAAAAATACAATATTTCTTCGTCGTTCAAAGACACACATGTGTTGTTTGTATTGTGTTGTATTATTCACGTTGCTCGTTGTTGGGCGTTGTTGATAATGTTGTTATTTGTGTGGTATTGTTGATAATGTTGTTATTTGTGTGGCATTGTTGATAATGTTGTTATTATCGGTGGGTGTTGATAATGTTGTTATTATTGGTAGGTGTTGATAATGTTGTTATTATTGGTATTGTTGATAATGTTGTTATTTGTGTGGCATTGTTGATAATGTTGTTATTATTGGTGGGTGTTGATAATGTTGTTATTATCGGTGGGTGTTGATAATGTTGTTATTATTGGTGGGTGTTGATAATGTTGTTATTATCGGTGGGTGTTGATAATGTTGTTATTATTGGTGGGTGTTGATAATGTTGTTATTATTGGTGGGTGTTGATAATGTTGTTATTATTGGTGGGTGTTGATAATGTTGTTATTATTGGTGGGTGTTGATAATGTTGTTATTATTGGTGGGTGTTGATAATGTTGTTATTATCGGTGGGTGTTGATAATGTTGTTATTATCGG